AAATTCTTTCATCTGCTGCCATGTAAGACCGTCACGTGGGAGATATTCAGAAGAAAGATTTGCCAAAACGCACGGAAGGAACGCCAACAAAGAAAATCGTTTAGATGTTCCTGGAGGTGGAGCATTGTCAGGATCCACTCCCCAAGTAGCAATATTATAACTGCTTTTGACAAAGTCACTGTTCATCACAGACCGTAGGTCACGCTGAAGTTCTCCAACTTGCGAAAAAGATCCAAATTGGTGTTTGATACGGTACTCAAGAGCAGTGCAAACGATATTCACTGCAACTTGACCATCGTTTTTGTAATCAAAACCTTCCAGACATCTTCGTCCAATCGCGGTTGGTAATCCAAATTGGAGCACATCGGTTGCCGCTCGATCACCAAGGGAGGTACGAACCACGCCCACAGTAGGAGGAAGTGGATGCACCAACCAATATCCAATCGCTTTCAACTCTGGAGGACAACAGCGACGTTCCATTTCCGAATTAATACTTGCCGAACGCATGGGGGTATATTTGGACCGAGAATTCGGCTTATTGGTATGGAATGTTGGGTGGGTCGGATAATGACTCATCGGATACATCGTACCATCATACCCTGGTTGGTAAGACATCGGCATATGCGAATGTGGATACATGTGATGCATAGGCAGCCCTGGGGAGGCGGGAAACATCTGGTGGTGGTGCACCGGTGTGGGTAACCCCATTGCCGGTGACGTCGTGGGACAATGACCAGCGAAAGGCGACGGACCACGAGGGGTAGAATCAATTCTGACACGAGGACCTTGTTGAAACGGAGAATTCCATGTCGAATCGTGGATCCCATCATGAGGCATACCTTGGGCTGGCGACTGGAGTGGTATGTTCGTACCGTTCATAACACCAGCAAACGGATTGCCCCTTGAAGGATTTCTGAAACAACTGGAATCTGGATGTTGGTCACGAGACGACGGAAAAGAAGTGTGGCTCGGAGCGACATGATCCAGTGGGCGATATGTCGAAGGAGACGGTGTCACCGCTGGCAGTACTTGTCCATCAGTACGGGGTTGCATCCCGCCTGGATCATCATGGGGAACATAATTAGTACCATGTCCATCTTCGAAGTTTCCTTCCTCCGTCAAGACAAAAGAGTCTTCTGGAGCGGGGGTAACTGGCGGATGGACCGGTGATCGACGGGAATTGGGCTTGTGTCGCTTGGTAGCCTGAAGGAATTCCGCCAGATCATCATCCATCGGTTGCAAAGCGGCAGGAGGTGCTACTGGAGGCACTGTCAACCTCTGTGTAACATAATCGTCAGGATCTTGGGCAGACGACGGCAGCGGGCGAGGGGTGTATTGCAAGTACGAGTCCGGAACCTCAGTTCCCGAATCTAAATCAAGCGTCTTGTACCATTTAGGGATACGACCATCCCATCCCTTGTCTTCATCCTCAAAAGGGAAGAGGTAGTTGACAAAGGCCTGACACTCAGGTGGTAACGTAATACCCAAGGCAGTAGGATAAGACTCCGCCAGGCGCATATTATGCATCCTGACCCAAGCACGCATCTTGAACCCAAGAGTCGACGTAGGTAAGGATCCACTTCTGTATATGAGTTGCATCAAGTGGCTCCGAAGGAAACGATCCATTTGTTCTTGGAATGGAGCTAGTAAGGCCACATCCAAAACACGGGCGTCGACTGGGTCATGCTCAGTGGGAAAGCAGGACCAAAACGGCAGAGCATCCACCACGGGTACCGCAAAACTTGCAGGGCTGGCCTTAACGGCATTGAACCAATTTTCAATGATAGTCTTCCTTGACGTCAATAGGTGAAGAAGACCAGTGAATATCTTTTTCCGATTGCTCGCCGGACAAATCCCACAGGACAAGCAGACATTGCTGGAAAGAACAGAATTTTCCAACCATCACGGTTGAAAGGTTTATTTCCAATCGCAGCTTCGTCTGTCATCAAAACGGGAAGGAGAGATTTTGAAAATTCGATACGATTGCCGGTTCCATAAGAGGCAAAAGTATGTCCGGACAGCGATCCCAAAAGACAATGGGTCCGTTTTGTAGGATCACCTACATACTTTTGCGCAATATCATTATTGACAATTTCCCCAAAGGGAGCCGGAGCTCCAAAAGTATTGGGTTCCATTACATCTGGCTTGGTCAAGACCGGATTGGAAATAAACATGATATGACACGGCTGTCCATCTTCTCCTTTCCTGACCAAAAGGGCAAAACCAGGAGACATTGTTTCTCCATTTCTCATGCGCTGGGCGAAAGTCAAAGTAGGATCGTTCCACTGGTCGAAAAGTTGCTCCAATTCCTCCATTCGTTGATCTTCTGGTTCAAAATCCTCGGGGCACGTCACCTGATATCCAGGTTTGGTGGTATCTGTGACAGGGTGGCCGAATGACTGATGAATGGTTTTATCCAAACGCATTCCTCGCCGAGAATTGATGATGTGATCATGGATGAGGGAATCTTGATGGGGCAGACCAGTGAGTTGATCCCAGAAGCTTTGTCCGCGGGTTCGGTGATCCGAC